GGGCCCCCCCCCCCCCTGTCTACGCCACTGCGTTATGCGGTACGCCTATGATTTTATATTATAGCGTAAGATTTGACAAATTTTTAAGTTTCTTACTTTGACATACCTATGTAACCTATGTATGTTACCTATGTAATTGAACGGTCTCGTGTTTAAAGTAAGGAGTTAATTAGTGAGTAAGTTTTAATGGGAAATTGAGATGAAAACTCGCCTTTACATCATGGGTGAAAATATGGAGGGAGGCGAAGTGGTCTGAACTCCACTTGGCCTCTCCCAAGAAATATGAGAGATTTTTCTAAATAATGCGTGATATACTTTTCTCCTTGGAAATTGTTATTGGATAAATTTTTTAGTGAGATAACAGCTTAAAATGCTCCCAATAAGACGACTCAACTTTTCCCATTTTTCAGGTGAAGACCCTACGGACCCCTCTTGTAAGCTAGGGAAGTCCCCAAACTTTCTTTAGAGCTGTGGCGGAGTCCCGCAGACCCCCCTAAGTATGGGATGCCTTTTTGTTCCCCTTGACTCCTCTTAATTGATGGAGGTGCCCTTCCGGCCCCCCTCACGAAAAGTTCCTAGTTCCGCCCATGCTCTAGATACTCGTAGAGTTATTGTCGTCTCAGAGCAATACTTCAAGAAAAAATTGAACACTGCTATAGCTCAGTCAGCCTCCTTCTTCTCCCCCACAATTCTAGAGTTTCCGAGAGAAATTACACGGACGATAACGGGAATATCCACATCGTGCAATATCTTTCAACTTTAACCGCGTTCTTCTCCCTGTCACAATATTTAGCATTTTTAGTCGCGATGCCCTCCGCCCAAGTAGCACAGATTACAATAAGTAGCAATTGCACCGTAAAGATATTGCAATTCCACTGAGTGTTGTGTATGTTGCCTAGCTTTTATTGGAAGGGGCTCCATTTATTGAAACTTATTGCAGTAGATAAAATTGAAATAAGTCGCAATTTTTCATGGCATTACATATCGCCTATATTTCTGACACATGAGGCTCATTTTGTTGCTTGTTTAAAATTGGCATAAATCGACTAACTGATGTAAAAATATTGCAGTTTAATAGTAAAAAATTAAAATTTCATTGAAATCGAATTGCAATTTAATTACAATATTTTCGTCGCACTATGCTACTTGGGCGGTTGTAGCCGGAAGGAATTTGAAAATAACGCATCATAATTCCAACGAGTCTTACAAGCGAGTAAGTCGTGTCAGGAATTTTACTTAACTATTATTATTTCCTCAACGAAAGCAAACATAATGCATGCGAAGACTCTTTTAAATGGATGACAATCATAGGCGTATGGGTTGAGCGATTTGCCGGCAATGGTCTGGCCCCAACTTTTCCAGGAGATCCTCGATTTAGACATTTTTCACGGGGTGTCGCCCGGAAGATTTGGGAAAATTGTCCCTTTTAAGATGAATTTTGAGGCTAACCTCTCGCAAAAACTTAAGTTCCAACTATAGCAGTAATCCCCCCCCCAAAAAATAATAATAATTTCAATTTGTTTTCCTCTCTCTCGTTGAATCGTGCAAATGAAGCGTGGGAATGTACCTACATGTCCTGAGGATCGTATATTATGTAAAATACCTCGGGGGAGGGGGGCAGATGAAACTATTTTAAACTCTAAGGGAGACCAAGCTCAATTTTACTCCCTCACGAGCTGAGCGACAATTGAATAGTTTAGATTGACCGCACTCAAGTTAATTTTTCCTGATTCCAACTTTCTTTTTGCTTCGTTTTTGCAGAGAAATACCTCTCCAGAGAGAAAGGCGTATTGACTCATGTATCGCCGAAAGGATTTTTGTCGACAGCGATACCTACTTGAAATTCATGATAATGTTAAAAACCTTTCGAAGTTTAGATTATATCTCCAAGATACTAGCCTAAAAAAAGGGTTTGGCGCCTAAAAATGAGCGGAACGTTGAACGAGGGCCCGAGCAAAAGGTGGGGGAAATAGGGCAGGAACTGGCCCTGCTGAGACTATCCGTTTCATGCTCATGACATCGCTTCGTAATCAATTATTATTAAAGACAATTTAAATGTATAGTTTTTACGCCAAAATTATCGGCCCATTTTGATCATTTTTTACCGGGCCGACCCTGGAATTTTATACGGCTTCCCTATCATTCCGAAAAATGAGGAAATCAAAATGTCAAATTTTTATGCGTTTTGCAAGGCAGTGCTCGAAAGAAATGACCTAAATTTTGAGAAAATTCCATGCACAACAGTCCAGTCGTTCGGATATATTGGTGATTTCAATATTGTGAATCAATTTTTTTTTTCTCTTCAGAAAATATCTTTAAGCTGTCCTTATACGACCCCAAGTAGCACAGATTGCAACGAATTGCAGTTACACAGTGATATTAATGCCACTGCATCGGAATGTTGTGTATGTTGCATACCTGCTAATTGAAGGGGCACCTCTGATTGAAATTCATTGCAATAAAATTGAAATACGTCGTCATTCCTCTTTGCATCGCATACTGCCTATCTTCCTAATACACATAGCTCATCTTATAGATCGTTTAAAATTTTCATTTATTGACTAAAAGATTTACCTAAAAATATTGCGATTTCATGATTTAAAAAAAAAAGAAAGAAAGAGAGAAAAAGTTGCATTTATAAATCATTAAATCGCAATTTAATTTCAATATTTTCATTGCACTGTCTTACTTGGGGGGGGGAGGGGGGGGGGCTTTTAAAACAGGAGACTCGGTTGAGTTCGATTCGGATGTTTTAAACCTGCATGGACATCGAGTTACATGGACATCCAGCGAGTAAATCCCGCCGTAGTCAAATAAAATTGCGCGACATAATTAGAATGCTACAAAGCAATGACTCAATAAAGAAACCTTACATCGGAGGTAAAAGGACCAAACAAATGTTTGGCTTCCGTGGATATACCTACTTACTCACTGCCTTAGTTTAAAACTCATACCTGTCTGCTAAGTGGTGACCGTGTTATTTACTGCTCTCTCGCTCTCACTGTGGCGCATAAGCCTTTCCAACAGTTTTTCGCACTTTTCCTCAAAACCTACGGACCACTAAGTTCTAAATGATAAGAACCAAGTTATAATTCAGGCGAATTAATAACGCATGCTCAAATTCCTTCACCGCCCGCGGGCGTGTGTATACCTAGAGCACCCAGAAGAAAGAAAAGAAAAGAGGAGTCATTACCTGGAGACCATATCGCTGAAAATCAGATTTTTTGACTTTTAATTCCTCCCCCCCCCTAACACGCCCGCAACACGGGTCGACACCTCCCTGAATATTACGTAACGTTTTCATCGACCCGCTCGCCTCTCAAATTATCGTTTTGTGATGAATATTTTGACTTATTTATGCTAAAAGGACCTATGCTACACGCAATCCCTGCAACAATCCAGTCGTTCAGATATATTGGTGATTTCAATATTGTGAATCAATTTTTTTTTCTCTTCAGAAAATATCTTTAAGCTGTCCTTTATACGGCCCAAGTAGCACAGATTGCAACGTATTGCAGTTACACAGTGATATTATTGCTACTGCATCGGAATGTTGTGTATGTTGCATACCTGCTAATTGAAGGGGCACCTCTCTTTGAAATTCATTGCAATAAAATTGAAATACGTCGTCATTCCTCTTTGCATCGCATACTGCCTATCTATGCATATAGTTCTTTTTAGCATAAAAATGAATATTTGATGGATCAATACCAATCCGCATCAATTTTTTATCGTAGATTTTCGAAAAATCGGCGCTACGCGCCCATTCTAGCGTCACGTGACGCAGTTCTGGGCGCTTCTCCCCCTGTATCGCAGGCTCTGGTCTTCTTCACCCTAGAGGGTTAAGCATTTTAAGAATGACCCCCTAGCTTCCTTTTCACTTGTCCCCTTCTTTTTTTCTCTGATAGATAAAAGTTAAACAGAATTATTCGAACTTTATATCTAGTTTAAAGAAAGAGGGGAGGGGGCGCGCAAGAGACGAGAATTAATGACTGCAGCGATGAGCGCGAAAAGAGGAAGAAAGCAGGCCAGGGAGGGACATCTATTATGATACTACTTATCAACCTCGTGCTGAAATTGGTCGGAAAAATTGGCCGTATTTCTTTCGAACAGAACTATGTGCAGGTAAGAAATATGGGGTGTGCTCCAGAAAGCTGGATAAGAAACAATGTAAAAGTGGGCGTGGTTCCTTTTGAAGAATTGGAAATGCGGGATTTTAGATTGAGCAAACAGAACTATGTGCCGACTGAATGCGGGATTCACCGCGAGCATAGCACGAGAGCGTTGTGGACAGGGCTCATGAGTTAAAACGTCCGGACGACGATCCCCCCCCCCTCGCGCTCGATCATTGCCGCTGACGTCACTGGCGCTTTATTATTCACATTCACTCTTACGGCCAGAGAACTGACGAGCACACCCCATATTTCTCACCTCCACATAGATCTGTTTGATAGAAATACGTCCAATTACTCTTGAGTACATTGGCGGATCCAGAAAATTGGCAACATTGTATTTTCTCCATTTAAACCTATAGAAATGTATCGATTCTTGGAGGGGCGAGGTGCTCCGACAAGAATCGATTGTTTAGCATAGGTTCAAATGGAGGGAATTCGGTGTTGCCAAACAGCTAGGTCCGCCTCTGCTTGAGTATAGGTTACCTACTATAATAAAAATAACTTCAATCTTGGTAATATATCAGCAGATCTAACTTTTCAAATTTCACTGGTTTCAGGAAGATCAAGCAAAACAGCAAGACGCGACACTGGCGGAAAAATGTGCAGACATGGGTGATATTCCAAAAATTAGACTGACCACAAAGAAAATGTTGAAAGGGCACATAAATAAAGTTAACTCAGTTCACTACAGCGGCGACAGTAGGTAAGATAATTCAGCTATCATGTGCTCCTAGGACCTGCCATGGGATTTTTTTTTCCAGTAAAAAGCACCTGCCAGGATCGGTGCAGTGATTTTAGTCGGGTAGCGTGTAAGAGATGTTAGCGGACTAAGAGTTTTGGGTCATCTTGTGCAAATAATTACTTTTTGAAAATCGGGGAAAGATTACATTCACGCCATATCAGTTCGCCTTCAACTTCGGTATAGGCAAAACAAGCTCCCACGTGGTCGAATAGTGGTATCGTTGTGAAATGGCTTGTTCCCCTGAAATACATTAGAAAATAGCTTTTTACCGAGCCAGAGCTAGGTTACTTTAACGCATTGTCAGTACGCCTTCAATTTGGGTGTAGGCAAAATGAGCTCCCACAATGTCAAATAATGTTATTTTCAGAGCAGGTCCTTGAGAAAAGGGACGGGACCTATTAATTACTAAAAAAGTGAAATGGAAATATTACCTCTAGCTGGGGAACGTTTGACAAACATTTTCGCCCACAAAACGCCCTAAAGAATTTAACTGAACCGAAATTATTAACAAATGCGGTTTAAACTTCGAATATGCTAGTTTGGAGAGAAAGCTGTATCATTTAAGCCCCTATTTAATGGACGGACTCAGTCGACCAAATTGTTGTAGACACAATAACGTCTATTAGAATTGTGCGTCTTTAGATATACGTTCCCATGTTTAATGGTGTGCCTCCCGGTCGTATGAAGGTTGAGTTCAAATTTTGGTTCAAGCTCATTTGAGAGGTTTGGAGGACAAGGCGCATAAGTTCGGTTTTCGAAAAAATTGATATATTAATGATTTCAAGTTAAACGAGTCTTAATGCATATTCTTTAACAAATTCGCTCTCAAACTCCAACTTTTAAGCATCAAAAAGTCAGTTTTAACTTTCTTTCCGCCATGAGGATCCTTGTAATTTTGAAACTTCAAACACGTATTTCTCGAAATAGAAAAAACTGCACTTATGCGCCTTGTCCTCCAAGCCCCTCATTTATCGTTTGCCAATAGGTAAACGGCCACCAACTTAAGTTCTCCCTTTACGCGCTGTGTTTCACCAAACTCTTATTTTTTTATTTCCCGTCTGAGGAGAGGATGCACAGAGAAAGTAAAAGAAAAAAAGAAAAGGAGAAAGAAGGAAGAATATGAAGAAAAGAGGAAGAAAACAAGAGAAAGAGAGAGTAGAAGGAGGAAAAGGGGAGGAGAAGACAAGGGAAGAAGAGGAAGAAAGAGAGAGGGAGAGAAATTAGAAGAGGCTACCTACTTCAACGTAATGTCAGTTAGCCTTCAATTTTTAGAATAGGCAATACACGCTCCCGCGCGATCGAATAGTGGTATCATCTCCCATCCCATATAATAGTCAGATTCACCTTCCCCTTCACTCTTTTCTGCTTCTTATTTCGCTTTTCTTCCTTCTCTTCTTCCTCTTTTCCACCTTTCTCTCTTATCTTCTTCTTGTGTTATCGTGTCTACAACGAATTCGCCGACAGAGGCGGCTAGCTGTCTGACTATTACATGAATGATGTTACCACTATTCGACCGCGTGGAAGCGTGTGTTGCCTACACCTCAAATTGAAGGCGAACTGTCATGATGTGACAAGGAGTGATGTTAAGTTTATTGGATAAAGCGATAAGGGCATGAGGCGGGAACTTCAGCTCAGGTGGAGGCCATGGTGGGGAGGGGGTAGGGTCAACAACTATATTGATGGTGAAACTGCAGAAATGCGAATCTCAGTTTTCGGCGTTGCAGACTTCCTGTCATACTTCATATTCTACGTGAGGAACTCCTAAACACCATTTTTTGAACATTCAGGTGATTTGTCTTCTATTTATACAGAATATTCTTTGAAAAATTCAAGCCATAATGTTGGCTTGGTCTCGTTTCAGGGAGTAAAACAAGAGCTGAGACTTCGAAACACCACACCGAAATACCCATTTTTGAAGTTCCGCCGTTGATACCTGCTTGAGGTGTTAAAAATGCCATGCTACGCGGCGCAGCATGGCTCCATTTTCTATGAAGTGCTTATAAATAGCGAGCCATATACTTAATATACTTTGAAAATGGAGGAGGAGCGGTTTTTACTTAGGGCTCTCTATCCCACGATTCCAATGATAGAAAAAATAATCCACACTGTGTACATTCTCCGCAGGCACGCAGTGACTGGATCCTTGGATGGTAAACTAATTATCTGGGACACTTGGACTGGAAACAAAGTTCAAATCATTCCACTTCGATCCTCATGGGTCATGAGCTGTACTTTTGCGCCATCCGGAAATTTCGTCGGTAGGTAACTCCTTTATCATTTCTTATCTGTGAGGTACTTTAAATTTGATTCAGAAGATGGGGGGGGGGGGCAACAGATGGGGAGGAATATAGAGATTAGTCAGACGGCATTCGTGAACAGGAAAACACTTGTTTTCCCTTACTCATACGAGCAATTATCAGCGTCAGAAAATTATTGGTACATCCTATGAAAAAATGATCATTTTTTACAAATAGTAACATGCAGACGATCTGAAGTCAGCCTTCAATTCTACCACTTAGGCAACAAGCGTAACGAGGAATACACTTACCTTTTACAATAACACAGAACACCCATATTTCGTTCCAGATGTATTTTTGGATGGAACTGATGAACAGTACGGTACCCTAAGTATCGGCAGCTATATTCCATTTGAATACTGCCTTCAATTTTGCCGCATGTGCAACAAAATTTGTACTGAAGTGCAGGAATAGTTATCCGAAAAAAACTCGTTTATCTCGCTGCATGATCTTCAATCAAACCGGACCGTGAGCTTTCTATTCCCTGATTAGGTAACTTTAGAGGGATGGATCGAATTTTTCCTACAAGTGAGGAACACATTTGCAAATCTATTGCGAAGTGGGATTTCCCCAACTGGTGACTGCAATTGAGGACACCGCACCAAGAACAACCTATAGGCGTATAGGTCGTTATTACGCCAATCTGCTTTTCGGATTCTACGTACCCTGGACTATGCTGTGGTAGCGATAGAATATAGATAGGTAACGTCTCGAGGTCGAAAAACCTTTTTTTTCCGAGGCAAGTCAGGCCTCTGGATCGATGGGTGCAAGAACGACCTATACGCGCGGCCTTATCATTCTCGGTTAGCGGGCATCGGCGCGGCGCGGCGATAATGATGGCTCGATTTTTTGATCTCATTTTATAAAGATTTGTTTTTATTTCAGAAAAACGAGCTATTGAAATAATTTATTCTCCTCTCAAACTATCCTCTCCTCCAAAAATGTATACTTCGCATTTTGCCACCAAAATGACTGTTGGGCGTAATACGGGCCTATAAATTTAAGGGCCTATAATGTGCTAGTTACCCCTCTCTATACTCACCATCGATATTCTTTTATTTTGCGTTAATCATGCGTGATTAAAATGATTTATACTGCATATTGCCACCAAAATGACTGTTGGACGTAATAACGACCTATAAACCGCTTTTTTAAATTAAATATATTAGAGCGTAAACCCAAAATGTATCGCAAAATCTACCCGGCATCCTTCAGTAGAAGGGTTAGGTCACCCAAAAACACCAAAACAGGGTACCTGCATTGAAAAGTCTGCGCAGTACATCAAAAACAAAACTTTAAATGCGTTTTTCTCAAAACGCGGTTTCCAGTTATAGGTTGTTCTTGGTGCAATGTCCTCAATTTAGAGTGAATTATTATACACGCTTACTTGGACTGCTCATTTAAGGCTAGTTATGAATCATTTTCCGTCCTTTTATATCCCTACAGATTTCGGGTTGAAATCTTGTGTTTAACGGGAAACTGTCTTCTTAATCATTGAATTTTTTGTGCTCTTTATTAATTTAGAAATTTTTAAAATTTAGTGACAAGCATGCTTACAAAATGTAAGGGCTTAAATTTGCCTTATTTAGCATTTTCTCTGGCGTCATGTGTATCTTCTGAAATTCTGCTTTAAATTGAATCTCTCGTCACTCAAAGTAGCAAAATAACTATGTGGTTATTTTGCCACCGATTTCAAAACAATTTTTGGAAAAATAAGAATTTTGAAAGTTTGCGGAAGTGGTTTTTACTTTCGCTTACATTTTACATGTATTGCTATGTAGTTAGTGTCGTCCAGGGCCGGATTGAGGGGGTGGCCACGTGGGCCGCGGCCCATGGCGGCAAATTTAGGGGGCGGGAAATTTTGCAATTTTTTCTAAAGGTAGGTATAAAAAAAAATCAAATTCAGAAAAAAAATTACAAACGAGAAAAGGCGACAAAATCTCTCATTTCCGGAGAGAACAGTAATTTCTAATTTTGCCGTCTTTCGGTGATACAAGAGACAGCACCTTTAATTAGTCAAGATGAGAGAGAAACCGAACACGCATGGAGCGGCGTGGCGCAGAGAGCAACGTTGACGAGGACTTGAGATGAAAAGAAGAAGCCCTCGGTGCGGCTGTTGGCATGTAGCACATATTAGCGCCTACAAGACTCAATTAATACTGCACGCATTGCGTCAAACACAGTGCGGTCATCAGCGGTCGGCGTGAAACGCATAGCGCCTACAAGACTGTAGGAATACTTCAAGCATTGCGCAAAACACAGTGCGGTCTGCGCGACGATGCGGCGGAACTTAAAATTATTAAACCACATTTATGTTTGTTCTTACATAATTTTTTCGTTCATTTCTTATAAATCGAGGGCCTTGTCCACATGGAGATAGGTTTACGGAACTTAAATTTCGCGAAAAGTTCCGTGAATTTTTGCTGGTACTGATGACAGGGCTTTCCCAAAAAATGTTTCCGACACGAGTAAATGCGTCTTATGCACCTCTTCCTCTCCGGTACGTTCACTTGATGGTTTTTATTGATGTTTCAAAACGAATGAGAAGGGGGCGGCAAAACACAGGCGGCCCATGGGCGGCAAATAGGTAAATTCGGCCCTGGTGTCGTCGATGTATTAATTAAAATAAACTAAGTGGCTCAGTCATTTTTTTTTAACCAGGAAGCACAACGAATAATATAATTTTTGAGCCGCTGAAGTCATTATTATTTTAAATTCGACCTAATGCGACCGCACTAAAATGTAAAAAGGTAGGTATACTTCCTTAAATAGAAATTAGTATCGGTGACCAAAGAGCACGATACATTTTTTGAATTTTTCGCTTCAATTTCAATCAATCAAGATTTTTAAATTTTTCGAGTGTCCTTCCTTGAACTTCTCTCCAGCTTCAGTATCGCAATTTTGGCAAAAACAATTATGTGAAAAGAGAGAAAGAGAGGAAGTCTTTGACACGCGTGGCCGGAGGAGAGATCTAAAAATTGGACTTCATTTTGAAATTAGGAACTACAATTTCTGGCTCAGCTTAGAAACATCGTATGTACCATTGGTATCCTTATGCACGTAAGTGTTTGTACGGATAAATCAGAAATATTAGTTCCTTTTCGAATTAAGTATAGTCTAATTCAGAAATATACTATAGTCCAATTTGAATTTCACCGTGATAAAATTTATGAACAAACCATGAAGAAGAGACACTTTCATGAAGGCTATTTCCATTTACATCTTCCGTCACATTCATACGGGGCAATGATACAACTATTTGAACTCGACGGAATGCGTGAGGTATCACGCTGCATTTGAAGGCGTTTTCAAATCAGCCAAGTTCCGATACCCGGATTATCGTTTTGCATAGTTCATATTCTTTTGTTATATTCCGTGCTACTTGTTTATTTTTAATCCTCGTAGAAAAACCACCCATTTGTGAATGTAATTCTAGCTGAAGCGCACATCAGCTATGAGTTCACCACTGCAAAAATTTCAGAGGAAATCGACAAGCCCAGCGTGCATGGAGGCTATTTCGATTGCAATCTTCCGTTGCATTTCTAAGGCGCAATGATACAACTATTCGAACTCTCCGGAATGCGTGAGGTATCACGCCGTATTTGAAGGCGTTTTCAAAACAGCCAAGTTCCGTTATCGGAATAATCGTTTTGCATAGTTCATATTATTTTGTATCCATTTCTAACCACTTGCTTAATTATATTTCACCTATAAATACCACCCATTTGCTAAACACAATTCTAGCTGAAGCGCACTTAAGCGCATTCATGACTGCAAAAATGTTAACGGAAATCGAAAAGGCCAGCGTGCATGAAGACTATTTCAATTGCAATCTTCCGTCGCATTTCTAAGGCGCAATGATACAACTATTTGAACTCTCCGGAATGTGTGAGGTATCACGCCGTATTTGAAGGCGTTTTCAAAACAGTCAAGTTCCGTTATCGGAATAATCGTTTTGCATAGTTCATATTATTTTGTTTCCATTTCTAACCGCATTCACCACTGCAAAAATGTCAAAGGAAATCGACGAGCCCAGCGTGCATGAAGGCAGGCCCGCCACAAGGGTGGGATACTGGGTCCCGGGCACTGGTACCGGGGCCCGGGCCCCGGAGGAGGTCCGTGTAACCCGTGAGAAACCATGACGAATTCACATGCAACCCTTGTTTCGTAAGAAAAAGTGAAAAATTTACCCTAAAAATTTCGCAAAAGGTGAATAGATTTTCAGAAACACGCTGGGGCACTGTAGAATTCTTCTTAAATTTCCAAAGAAGTATACTTCCTGGAAAATTTCTATCTATTTTCAAGATTTTCAGTACAGTGGGATATTTTTAGTAACTGCGTTTCATTTTCTTCCGTCGTCAGATGCTAAGAGTCTCCAGTCTGGGCATCCTCGACTTCAATAGCTTATGGCTCAACTCCCTTGCCATAGACAAACGAAGGGGGAGTCCAGGGGGGCTTGGTCCTCTTGGAACTGAAAATAGTATCATATGCCCCCCCCAAAAAAAAAAAAATATAATAAAAATGTTCCAGATGTTTTGAATGAAACAATTCGCAAATATTTTGAGCTGAAAGTAGAAAAAAAAACATAATTATTCCGCAGAAATTGATGGAAAAATTCTTTATGGAAGCTTCAAAATGCGTCCGATTAGTCGTATAAATTCTAAAATTTCTGGGAGGATGCCCCTCGGACCCCCCCCCCTCCGTGCTTGGGGCCCGGACCTCAAAACTGGTACCAGGGCCCGAGATGGGATGTGGCGGGCCTGCACTCTACTCGGGATTTTTTAATCCTGTTTTTGGTTCTTCAGCTTTGTTTGACTATTCTGTTGATCTTACAGCTTGCGGCGGTATGGACAACATGTGCACAGTTTATGATCTGAACAATCGGGACTCCACGGGCGTGGCTAAGATGGTCAGAGAACTACTTGGTTACGAGGGGTTCCTGTCTTCCTGTCGTTTTATAGATGATAAAACACTCATCACGGGCTCAGGTGACATGAAACTGTAAGCTGACTTTCTTTGACACCATTTTCCTTTTTAAAACATCTTTGCTCGACTCTGAATTTTTGTCGGGAGACAATGTAACAATGCACGACTAGTTAAATTCAAGAGTGCAGCCAACTCATTTTCATCTTCCGGAATGTGACTCGATACGTTTCCGTCAATCTTATATTTATATTTAGTTGATCGCGCGTCACAATCGAGCCACCCAAAACGCCTTCATTTGAACGGGTATGCAACATGACGTACCTAAGAGTTAAAATAGTTGCTCAAGGTGTAGACGAAAGAAACGCTGTGGTAAGAAGCACCTTTGTCTTTTTCATACGTCGCCTCTTCTTGGACGATCATCGATGGCTCAATTTCTCATTATTATTGAAAATTTGGATTTACTTTGAGTTTCGAGAGTTCTCCGATCTGGTTGAAATGAAGGTATAGTCCTCTGCTATAAATATTCTGTTGTGTCCGATTTCCTCGTCTCACATACACTGGCGAGTATGGACGGAACCCGACCGAAAATGGATCCTCGAAAACGGTCAAAAACACTCGCTCCTCGGCTCAGGTAGCTCTACCGAGTCTCGAGACCGCATGCGCAATCGATTTTACGCTTCAAACTACGTAGGTTTCGACGCTTATCTCGAAATCTTTTTTTTGCCCAAAATCGAGAAAAATCCCCAGGGGCATGGTCTATAATTTAAGGGCTGGAAGCGAATTCGAAAGTTCTCCGAAATGAAGCTACTGTAAAATATGAGTTGAAGAGTCCGAATCTCTGGTCCACGAGTCGGCCCATTCTAACAATCGCGGCTATTCGAGCATACTCAAAACGGCCAGAAACACTCGTATTTGACCGTTTCTCGGCTCAGACACTGATCTTGAAATTTTTTTCAAGCCCAAAATTAGGAATTATCGACACGGTTTCCATGGACTACAATTTTGGGGTCAAAATTGAAAGTTCTCCGATTGGGCTGAAATGAAATTGGACCCCTGTAAAATGACAGGCTGAGTCCGATTTTCTGGTCTAAAATGCTCCACGAGTCGACCCGTTCTCACAATCAGCATCAGCGGTTATTTCACCAGGCTCAAAACGGTCAAAAACACTAGTTTCTCGGCTCGATTAGGAATCCTTGCTGAGGGAAGAATAATAACAACCCTGATGAAAATTGGCGATAAGAGCTGCGTTTCAAAATACCATAGGAATTCTTATGGCCGGCTAAAGAAGGCTACAGAAAATCATATAGCTGGCTGTAGAATGCGGAGAAAATCATACGGCCGGGCTGTACGAAGCGATAAAAAATTATACAGCCGGGCTATAGTTCCTATCGCCGAGCTTTACACTTTATCGCATGGCTGTTGCTTTTTCGCCATCGATTATAAGGATATAAGAAATTGTGTAGAAATTCGTGTGCTTTGGGAATCATTAAGTTTGACACGGAACCACCTTAATATTTAAAAAACACACATTATAGTTACCTTTAATACATATTTTTCTCATCAATTAAAATGAGAATAATCCATATGTGCAAACATTTCAAAATCATGAGTTGAATAACGCTGACTCCGCCAGATTAAATATTAGAGCTTAACACAAAGCGGAGCGGCGACGCACTGGCGCCTACAAACCTAACAGGGATACTTCACGCAGTGCGCAACGCGTGAGGTATCCCAGTTAGGTTTGTAGGCGCCAATGCGCGTTTCGCGCTGGCTGCCCGCCTGCCGCGCCGCAGAGTGCCACGGCGCTTGAAGCAACTATTTCACACCAGAGGTATTGCACAGTATCATACGAAACTGAAGGCGCTCTAATATACTAGGAATGGTAGGCATCCATCAAAAATACGGCCCACATAGCACAGAATATTGATATAATACTACAATAGTACTGACACGTCAGTAGTGTCAGTATTTATATAATGCTGATGTATCCTGACGTAATATTATATCAAGACTATGTCAGTATTTATTAGTTACTGATTTGGAGCTTTCAAAATATTGTCNGCATTAGTGTTGGTGATATCGTGTCAACATCCAACAATATGTATCAGTATTGACAAAAGATTCTGTGCTATGTGGGGGAGCTTTCCTCGCAAAATAAATCAAGATACTACAGCCCCAAAAGAGAGCAGTGGTCCAAAAACTCACCAAGTCCTAGCATCCGTAATTAGTAACGTTTAGCATACACTTTATCGCCTAGCTGTTGCTTAATCGCCATCGGCTACAAAAAGCTGTACCTAAGAAATTGCGTAGCCGGCTATAGAAGCTATTGGAAATCTTACAGCCGGCTGTAGGTCTATGGTATTTTGGAACACAGATTCTACTGCCAATTTTTACCAGGGAACGTATCAAAAGAGGGGTGTTGTCATATGGACGTATTTCTGCCAAACAGAACTATGTGTATTATGACGTGAGCCCTGATATGCATATATTCTTATGGGTCTCAGGGCTCATGTCTTAATGCATGTAGTTCTGTTTGGCAGAAATACGTTCATAAATAAATCAGTAAGACGTACCTCCTCCCTTGCCTGCACTCCCTTGGAAGGGGGGCGGGAGTTGGGGCCGTTCATTAGGTACATGGCGACTAATTTTTGATTCTTTGACCCTTTTCCCGCTCACGATACTTTTGTGGCGTAAGTTATCCTATCCTTCGACATGTGCGAACTAAATGGCACACTGCTTTCTTCGACACCTCTCTCTCCCTAAAGCGTTATCCATTTATTTCATGAACGGCCCTAAGAAAGATAAAAATTGATTTGAGAAAAGTACAATCAATACTGCTCGTTTCTGGCAGTTATAAATTATCTTTTTGACATGGATACTGAATTTTTCTAATCACCTTCTCAATACGTTTCATTTTTGTATTCAACTTAAAACACTCAAGACTTAAAATACTTATTCAGAATGGATGGTTGTTTCAGTAATTTTTGTGATTAATAATGAAGAGGCGTTTTTGGATTTCAGGTGTGTTTGGGACATGGAAGTCGGAAAGAAAGTGAAAGAGGTCTTCCCAGCTCATTGTGGGGATGTTGTTTCCATCTCTTTATCACCAGATAACAGTTATTTTGTCACTGGAAGTGTTGATCGTACTTGTAAGCTGTGGGACTTCAAAGAGATGGAGTGTAAACAGACCTTCTTCGGTCACGAGGCGGACGTCAATTCAGTTTGTGTAAGAGAAATTATCCCTAACTCTTTCCATTACTAGGTCATTGCTTTAGGCAGAGAAGATTTGATGCTATTTTGGTATAGACCTTTGATAAGACAAAGTAGCTAAGGCGCATTTAGCTAGAAATTTTGTTCGTGATTAATGCTCTTATGCTGTTGTGGTAACTTGCTTGGATTTGAAACTATTAACTGAATTTTTCAAAGAATAAATTAAAGTAAGTTTTTTTCTCTTTTTTTTGCAAAGTAAAAGAGTATCCATTTCATTCTTTCAGTTCCATCCCAGCGGACAGGCCTTTGCAACAGGGTCCGAGGATAAGACCGCACGACTATTCGACATTAGGGCTGATCAACAGCTTGCTTTGTTCACTCCACCGAACAAAACTTCTGGTTTTACGAGCTGTGGTCTCTCTATCTCTGGCCGCTATCTCCTCTGTGGCTCAGATGACCACTCAGTCCATGTATGGGATGCGATGAAAAATGTTCATAATGGTGAGATGTTCACTTTGTTTTTTGTTTTGAGTTGACGAGCTTTTGCCATGTGGGACAGGAAAAAGAATTAGAATCGCCAAAATTCAGGGCAAAGTAACACAAGCACCATTTTTATTCATTAAAATATTGAACTTTTGCAACATTAACCATTTACAAAAAAAGTAAAGGAGGAAAAAGACTAAGAGGAACAGCAATTTTGCACTAGAATCTTGGCGGTGCTGCTGAATCATCCCTAGTAGTTTACCTTGTAAAATAACACAGGAAAAAAATAACTCTAATATTTTTCATGAATTTGAAGATTGTACATAAAAAAGGTTGTTAAGAGGTCGTTATTACTAAATTAGAGCTAAATAATTCAACATAAAAAGTTTGTGATCAAAGACGTAAGTAAAAATGGATAATAATTCGTACTTTTTACGTATTTTTCTCATAAAAAATATTATATACATAGGCATTTGGTTTTCGTTCTATTTTACAACTTTTTTTTTACAAGTTTTCTTTACAGTATTTTGTTTTGTAAATGTTACATTATGCACTACTGGGGATACGACTATCTCTTGAGCATATTGTTCATTAAGCAAAAAAGTGACATCTGTTCTAAAGTTGGATGCAAAATCGCAGGATCTAATTGAAAAATTGTAAAATTGATGATGACTTGCAATAACTAGGAGTCAAGCAATTTGACCTTGGAGTTGACTTGAATGGCATGATTTTCTAGTGAACAATTTTTAGTAGGTACATGAATTTGGCATTGTTGAAACAACGATATCAAACCCTGCAGAAATATGTTCTTCAGAGCTGTTGATCACGGTAATGTTCTGTTGGTCCCCGTGTTTGTTTTGCTTCATTAGTTAATGTTTAATTTTTTCAGGCTGTCTCTCAGGTCATGAAAATCGCATTACATCTCTATCTGTATCAAGTAATGGAATGGCTGTTGCAACTTGTTCATGGGATCAGAATGTTCGTGTGTGGGGTTAATTTTAAATGAAAAAATGTTGCTTTAAGTCACTAATTTCCTCCAAAGATTAAATTTCTGTTGTGAGCTTTTAACATTGTGCAACTTAATTGCTTCAGCAACAAAATTTGTCAAACTTATGTGTAATATTTAAAATACATAATTATACGTACATGTTGAGTCAAGGGTAGTTTCTTTTGCCTCCTACTTTTCAGATATGTGACACATGAAAAAAAAACGAGTTTGCATCTAAGACAAGTGGATCAATTGGCATTACCTAACTTTATGCGTCCCACATCTGCCTATTTGGGGTTGAGACACAAACTGGGGTATGTTACGGCACTAAACCGGCAGGTGCAGGATACAAACAAGTAACAACAAATGACCTGCTATTCTTGAGTCTCCAATGCAAACCATTGCTTCCATGCGGAAACAGAGAACGGGAGCATGGTGCAGGAAATCTTGAAATTAAGATAATGATACCGTTCTTTTGAAGAGGTTTCAAGAATTTCGCCGCGAAAACTGCTGAATATGCCAAGTCAAATTGAAGAATAGATAATGAATAAACTTCCTTCATTTCTGTCAGTCCGTAAGATCCAACCATTGTCAAGAAATTTTAAGGGACGCTCGGAGAACCTATCATGACTAATTATCTACGTCTTCCTGGTAACATTGGCCATTTAAATAAAGCCAAAGAACTGCATAGAGGAGAACTCTCAGATAACTGTTGAAACATTCAAATTAGAAATCTCCTTTTTTGCACTAAAATGCCACCATCCACTTTTGCAAACTTTCTACTACTTCATTTTAGTAAATTGTAGCAAAAATTTTAGTTTTTAATGTTGCATATTTTACGGTTTATGTTTAGCATCAATATGAGTGATTAACAGGATTCAGTAAAATTTTGATTTCTATTATTTATTTTTTTCAACTAAAATGCATTTTCTTTTAACAAACATTTTACATAAATTTCACGTAGAGATGAACTAAAAAAGGTTCCAAAACTCGTACATTGTAAAAAATGTTTACGTTTTTTCAAGTCTAAATCTGACGGTGAATGCTATCAGGGGCTACCAAATCTTATTTTTGGGATTGTATTTTCCATCTTATTTACAATTGGACGTAGTTCTACCAAACAGACCTATGTGGAAGTGGGAAATATGGGGTGTGCTCGTTAGTCTCTGGCCGTAAGAGTGAATGAGAATAATAAAGCGCCAGTGACGTCAGCGGCAATGAAAAAGCCGCCCGGCGCAACGTCGACATCGTCGGGGCTCTTTAACTCAAGAGCCCTGTCCACAAGGCTCTATTGCCCTGCCCGCGGCTCATGAGTTCCGCACTCAGCTGCACATAGGTCTGTTTGATAGAATGCAATATCCCGCTTTGCCAATTCTTCAAAGGGAACCACGCCCACTGACCACATTGCTTCTTATCCAGATTTCTAGAGCACACCCCACATTTCTCATCGCCACATAGGTCTGTTTCGTAGAAATACGTCCAATTCAGAGTGTTTTTACAATAATTCAAAGTGAAAAGTAACTTCTGCAACTGAGTTGAACTAAAATAAAATAATAAACCTCTTAACCTAAATAAACCTTAATAAATAATGTAGAAAAAAAAATAATTCTAATATTCTTCACAAGTTTGAAGTTAAGGTGATAAGAAAGATTGTAAAGAGGCCGTTATTACTAAATTAGAGCCAAATAATTTAACATAAAAAATTTGTGATCAAAGAAGTGGAGATCGATAATAATTATTTTTCTCATAAAAAATACTATGTACGCAGGCATTCGGTTTATGCCTCATAAAGCCTCATAATTCTTGAACCAAAAGTCTAGAATTGATGGAGTGAAATAAACTTACTAAATTATTTCACTCCATCAATTCTAGACTTTTGGTTTCTGATTTTATATATATTCTGATATCGATAGATCATTCATCGAAGTTTGGAAAGTATTGGTCCTTTTTCTTAGGATCTGCATCTTCTTTGGATTTGGGTTTCTTAGGTGGCTCTTCCTTGTTTTCATCTACCCTTTTCTTCAAGATAGATTTGATGGGTTGAACTCTCGAGTCTTGTGATAATTCCAACTGAAAAAAAAAAAAAAAAATGAAATTGGACTTTGTGCTGGACTAAATAAAAAAGTGACTGAAGAAATAAAAAGCGGTCAGCAGGAATAGAAAATCAATCTGAGACTGGATCTGCACCATAAACCTTATAATTCAAAATTTGAAATTGAGGTCCATGAACTACCTTTGAAATTGCATGAGATTTGCATGAAATTGCAGAGACATTTTGAAGTTTGCTTGACAGTAGACTCAAAAAATCCTTGAAAATATTAAACTTAAAAGCATATTTCGGTTTTCACATATAAATGCAGGTATTTATTATTCTCCTAAGTGTCTGCCTCCCACTTTTATAAATGCCCTTCCATTTCCTCTTCTTACAAACTGGGTAATAATTATGCCAAAAAGTAATGAGGACACATGGAGATGACGTAAATGGGCAGCAAATGTTTTCCCATGATTTTAAGATTGGAACTTCCTAAAAAATAACGAAAACCCCTTAAAATCGGTCTAATTCGTCTACATGCAGGCACATCTTCTTTCTTGGATACAAAAAAATAAGTAAAAAAATAGAAATAGGACGTTAGTGCATGAACAGATTCAATTGGCAAAAATAAATCCTGAGTCTCCAACTGACTGCATTGCCGGAAAAAGGGGACATAGGCAGAGATCTAGTTTTCAGTAAATTGCGTTTGAAAGTTTACTTTGTTTCTACAGACACACAAGTGATAAAGTTGCGCAACCTAAGGTCAATTCCCAAGTAGAATATGTTAGAGTTTGAAATAGTCACAATCTTTAAACGGCAATTTTAAGACAAATTTTAAGAGCGAATAATCATGAGATATTCGGGTTGAGATTAAACAAAATATGTATTACTCCAAAAAATTAACATAAACTATTCTCCCTGACATTATTTAAGATATACTGTCATTAAAATAAAAAGAAAAATATCATTTTGAGAGTTAACAGATTGCGTAGGAAGTTGCATGGGGGTTGGATCCATGATGTATGTTCATCCTTCCCAGGATTTTTGTCTCACTCAGGTTAGATACCCTGAGTAAATTATTCCTTAATATTCTTGAGGAATCACATTGACTTGTGGCACAATTTCTTCATTTGACGGAGGATTCGGATATACCCGCGTGGGTATATATCCCTTTTTTCCGCCAAACTCATCCCAATGCAGAAATCCAATCCATTTAACTCTTAATACCATACGTTAAAATTAAGATATCGCCATGAAACTTAGTGGATGCAGTTTTAAAAATATGAGGATTTGAATGAGCCAGGTAACAGAAAAAAGGGACATACGCGAATGTCCCCTTTTTTCGGCAGTGTATTCAACTGTTTGTGATGATCTATGGTAGAAATCTCAATCATTCCCTAATTGACTTTAATTCAGCTGTATCCTACAGTTGAAATGGCAGACGATTATGTATTTATAAAATATATCGATGACTAAAGATCGAAACAATGTATCTCCGTTCGCGACGTTGTAGACTTCCTGTGATACTTCATTTTTTTTTTTTTTGAAAAACCCGGTAACGTAATTACCGAGAAATTTCCTTGATTTTTCTTCTTTATCTGTAGAATATTCCACATACATTTCAAGCTGTGAAGTTGACTTGTTTCTCGTTTAAAAAATAAAATAGTAGTGAAAATTTTGAACACTGTACTGGAGATATGTGGTTTTTGCCTTAGGTCATCAATATAAGGACTAAGATTTTTGAAATCATAAAATTCCTACCTTTAGTGCGCTTCCATAATCAGAGTGCATTGTTTTTGATGAGAAAAACCCAAGTCGAGATAATAGTAATGAGAAATGAAATCCAGAGTGTTAAGATTTTAAGTACTTACAGGAGAGAATTTTTCCAGATTCTGCGAGAAAGACAATCTTCTCGGTGGTAACTCCTGTGAGCAAGACAATATTCTCGGTGGTAACTCCTTGGTAGTTGATCTATTTTGGGCTGATACACGATCTTTTTCTAGAGATTGGAACTGCAAAATAATAAATGTTTAAGTACAATGTTGAAACAAAATAAGAGATTCTCAACCCACTGACTCAAAGCGACAACTCTGAGCAACTACTACTGCCTTGGGCCAGTTCTAAACAAATGGCTAGGAGCAGCCTGTCAGCTTGATATCAATCTTTATGATATCACAGTTATTTTTTCAAGGTAACTTATTGCTTAATAATGGTATTATCATATTATTGTACGGCTGAACAGATAAAATCCTAATTTGCCTGATTTTTTTCTATTTAGACAGCGATATTTCAACAAGATACTCATAAGACGATCGTAACTAAATTTTCTTCCTGTTTTCTTGAAGAACCTGTGAAAAATGCCAATATTTCGATTCTCAACAACAGGAAATAAATTTAGAATTATTCGCAAGACCAATTCCACACGGATCAGTTACTGCGCATCTTTATGGAATTCACTCCTCCGCCTGGCCTTCACGCGGCAGTAGCCAGTGTGACGCCACATTGCCTGCTCCCATGAGAAATGCATTGCATTGAAATTTCATTGCTTCACAGGGGTGACATAATTGTGATGTATCAGCCGGGAGGATCAAAAAATGGTTATGAGCTTCTTATAGGTGGATAACACTTTTAAGAGAAAAATAAAATAAAATACGGCAATCCTTACCAGAATGTCGGTTAGATTAGCTTCCACCAGTTTTACTTTGTCAATGTTTTCCATTAAATTTGCTGTTGTAACTCTAGTTCTTCTGATCTCTTTGCATTTTTTGCGGTATGCAGAATTGAACTCGTTGAAGATACGTTCCCAATCCTTTTTGTCCTCTTCTAATTTTAATGCTTGTTTGACAATTAATTTATTGTACGCCTGAAAAATTTCAAGAATATATGATCAAGTCAAGCACTGAAAGTCTGGATGGCATTCTCTTATTTTTCTAAGTTTTTGTTGGACTACAAGCAAACATAACAGAACATATGTCCGGTTGCAGGTTTGTTAACCTTTTCATTTCCACAAACGCAACAGAGAAACTGAATTCTTATCGCAGCACCTCCGCCATTACTCAACAAGCTCTATCTGAAGATCTGCGTCAAAGTTTTATCCCACTACAGCAGCAATTTCTTGCACTTTGGTGCCTGTGTTGCCAAGGAGTCCAGGGATTTGTAAAAGCCTAACATAAGACAGAAGTTAAAAACTAGCAGAAGAGTTCAGAATCAACCAAGTTGTCTCAAAGATAAATTGATTCCTTGGTGAATATTTTAGTCTGGGAAATAGGCCAAAATTAATCAATAACCTATTCTCCCGTTTAGTGTCTTTTAAAACGAATCCGATGTCTTCAAGATTCCACATTGTTTTTAAAAAACCCTGGATCCCAGAAAGAAAATGACAATCTTTAAAGATTCTTGTTAATTGAATCATGTCATACAAGAGCCACTAACGTCCATTATTCTATCTTTGAATTTTCTGCATTAATAGTACTTTTGAACAGTTGATGCAATCATGAAACTGGTGTAGTAGTCGTTTGGGGATTGAAATAACCCCAAAACAAGTCTTTGCACCACTTTCATGATCATATTTTTTGGGGAGTATCAATAATACTTTCCAATAAGAACTACTCAAAGTAACTCAAGATTAGAAAAATGGATATCAGCCGTTTTAGCAAACGATTCAATTGCTCAATGAGCTTTACATTTGATTTTCAAGTTTAATGATCGGAGAAAAAATGAGAAAAATCGCTTGTTCCAAAAACTGCACCCAGTTATGAAAAGCTCATAACATAGAGCAAAACCCACCTATGAAGAAAAAAATAGACCACTAGATAAGGTATAAATTTAGACATTCTGTTACATGTTTCCTCTTTCATGTAAAACATGATCAGCGCAACAAAACCTACTGAATTCAACTCCCAACCAAGATATTGAAGTTTTTATTTGACATTGGTTGGGGAAAAATTTGAATTTCTTGCTCACAAGAAAAACAAGAGTCTCCTTGAATCAAATTGCACACCACAACGGTTTCTGTAGACTTCATAATCGAGCAAGGTTCCTTCCCCACCCTGTGTTGTTCAAAGTCTAAAAAATATGCAACAGTTGAGCCAAAGCATCGTGATTGAGGTTGCCTCATTTTCATACTGCGAAGACTGTCACCGTAACGTTTAGTGGGCCATTTGACTGAAGTAGAACCAGTAGTTTTTTTTCATGAGCAGGAAGTTTGAATTTATGCAGCAAATAATTTATGCAGGAACCTTAATTCTGAAAGTAACGATTAAAATACGATAAGAGAATAAACATAAAAAACCATAGAGGGGCGCAAAAGATGACGGTCATTCATCAACTTACTTTAATTTTTTTATCCGATTCAGATTTTAATTTATTGATGGCACTCTCGAAGCATACAGCTTCTTCTAGTTCTTCATACACGAGATCCACTAACTCCTGTTTTAATTTCTCATTTTCTTCATTCATTTTTTCGAGGTCATTTTCGAGAGATTCTGCAAGGCTATCTTTTGTAACAGCAAGGTTGGTGATATCCGCAAATTTGATGAGTCTTTCTCTATCAACAGCAATGCCCTGCAAATAAGAGCAGAATATGAAAGAAATGGGATCTAAGTGTTTCGGTATAGCTTGGATATTTTGACAGACATTCCTCTCCTATGACTAATTTACGGATGGTTAAAATAAAATAAAAAACAAATGCTACTTTCTTATTAGATTGCTGACCTCTGCTTGTGTTGTACTTTTTTTATGAAAATACTTTACTAGAGAAAATAAAGAAACTAAAAGCTGTCCTTGTAATTTTCATTGATTCCGTTTAAAGAAATAAGACATCATCAAGTGATTTTAGAAGTTGCAATATGAATAAACATTTTTCAACTTTAACCATCTATAAGGGTTTCAACGAGGCTTGAAGGAGTGTATAGTGTGTCTCCCAAAATCGAGAAAACTTAAGTTTACAAGACTAGAGACAAGAACAAAAATTATTCCTCTTAATTTAGGAGTTAATTAGCGACAAAAATGGGTCCACATACTGAATAACAGCATATAGGAATCTTTTAAACAGCACAGTATGTACCTTTGTAAACTCTTTTGGCATCATACAAGTTATTCTGTTTTTTAAAGATAACAAATGACGGGGTTGCCACAGACTGAAGAAAATGGAATTCCCTGACATTTTCCTGATGCATTTGAGTAAATTTCCCTGACGTTAGAAGATAAGCCGGATGGTTAAGAGGACCTAATATGAAATAAATTTTTTACACAAAATTTGTTGTTTAAACCCTCATTCAAACCTTTTCTGGAGAGCAAATAAAGGTGATTTAACAATTTTACCCTGACATTTCAGGTTTTCCCTGACTTTTAAAAATTCCTCGACACTATCCGGTTTTCCAAATGTTCTCTGACCGCGGCAATCCTGAAATTAGGGAGGACTGAAGACCCATACAGCAATTTCCATGATATAAATTAGGTATCTAGATCAAATGCTAGCATAATTTTAGAGACTTATGCAGAGAATTAGTTGTATGTAAAACTGGAATGTCACAAGAATAGTTAATCTTACGAATATTTCTCATTAATGCGAAGTTTTCTAGTTAGGTTATGGTGTGACTCAACACTTGATTGAGTGAATTATTGACAGAACATTAAATTATTTCACTGAGGATATCTCTATTTCTTTTTACAAAGGTTGCTATGTTCCCAGTTTCAAACAATCTCTGGTAGTGCATAATGTAAAATTTTCAATTGTAAAAAAAACTTGTGGAATTCTTAGTTAAATTTACTAAGAACGCAATGCATATGTAGTATAACGTAAAAAGTTTGCACTACCTCTCTACCTCTTAGATCATAAATTTATTTCAGAAAATTCTTGAATTAACTCTGACTATTTACAACTTCTTTACAAGCTTTTTTACGTCAAATTTCCCGACTATCAAAAATACCAGCTGTACATTTTTATCTCGGAGTTATTTTACGAGATGCGCTACTAAAGGATATTCAGAGGGAACAAAACGATTAACTCACTGTCTTCTTCAGGGCTTCTAATTTTTTTCTTGCGGCAATGAGATTTTCTTTTGAGATTTTTTCTTTAGCCATTGACGATATGTATTTCTGCATTAATGAAGCATTTTCAGATTTGAGAGCAACGTTCATTTCTGTTTCTTGCTTGAGCTTAATTTGATTTTCATTCATTTCATTACAGTCAGATTCTAATTTGGCACTGGAATACATATGGATAAAACAAGATTTTTTTTTAAAAAAAAACTAACTACATAACAGATTTGCTGGGACCTCACAAGGTATTTTCTGGAACACTAAAAATTACAATTAATTTATGGTGGACTATTAGTCTTAACAGAAAAGGCTTGTTGCGAAAATAACATTTTTCGCCTTTCCTCCCCCCCTCTCTAGATTCCTTCAAAAATTGTTCACTGATTATTCATCCTTCAGATTGTCCTTTTCCAAATTTTTAAGGTGTGCAATTTGAATATGCAATGTACAAAAAATCACCGAGAATTCGAAGAAGAACTTTGAAATAGAATCAACTCTTGATTGTGATTGTACATACATAAAGCCGCTTCTCTGGCGCTCTGCGACACCTAGCTGCCAAAGTCCCCTATCTTCCCAAAGCCTTTTAGGGAGTTGATCTCTAGATTAATGGTTTTCAAAATTTTATAATTAAATTGTATGCGTTATTCGAAATTTCACATTTCTTTTAATCAATGATTCTATCTCAACTTTAGGCTATTTTTCTCAACCATCTCTGTCACTTTCTTTGTATAAAAAAGCAATCCTGAGACCCCAATGTATCTGTTTTAGTACACAATGAAACTTTGAATGATTCAAGTTGAACAGGATCGGCTAAAAAACACACTTGTGTAAAAAATGAGATAGTGCCTCTCACACAATGCGATTGATTGAATTTTCGCTTTTTCGAGGCCTACTGAGTCTACGTATAAAAATTTCATGAAAATTCGACATTTTACATCCTTTACCTATGAAAAAAACTAAAAACATAACTTACACTTTTTTAGTTTCTTCCATTATGGAAGCAACCAGATTGGCCAACATCTCTTCAAAGCTACAATCTTCTAGCACAATTTTCTGGAAAAAGAAATAAATTAACTTTGAGATTATTTTGGTTCTTAGCAAGGATACTGAAAGGTAAATAAGAAACTTGACTCTGTGGACATAAACTTCATAGAAGTCGGAATCATTACAGTTTACACTTGAAATTATTATCCTTCTGGTTTTGAATTGTAAATAAAGAAACGGTGTGTGCGCTCACTTTGGTTGTGCTACTTTACAAATTTTCAATTTATATGCTGTCAGAACTGTTTTACACTCGGCATTTCTTTGAGTGTGAAATAGCAGTTGAAACGGTCATTCTTAAAAAGACTAAAGCACCGAAAAATCGCAAATTGAGTTCATGGTGGTTCTGTATTGCTTAGGAATAGATGCATATTGTAGCAAACTGACAAGCAGCAAAACGGATTTATAAGGCCTAAAAAACATCTGAAAAAAGTCTAGTCATTCTTGAGAAGCCTCAAGCGCCAAAGCACTACATCTTACTTGCTCATCTTAATTCAATAAGATTCCAAAGCCCTCCTGCAATTATCTCTGATTTTAAGAATTAGGGAGTAAATATTTGTTCTTTCAGGCCAAATAGGTCTCTGTTTTTGAGATTTTGGTAAATTTTAGCACTTGTACCTAAGCAATCATCAGTGATGTATTCATCAAGAATTACGTTATCATCGTCTTTCACATTGAGAAAGTGTATATGAAAGTTTTTGTCATTGCGACTTGAAGTACTATAAATTTGATTTTTAATGGGGAAAAATAAGTTGAAATAAGTCCATTCATTTTCAACTTGTATTTCTCTTCTTTCCCGTTTGTGTTGTAGGAAAATTTCTGAAACAACCACAATCCCATGTAAAATTGTGATATTCTCACACGATTATTTTTTTGACCTACAAGATTTAGCACGGGTCGATCAAAACAGTTTTCATGGTTTTCCTCAAAGTATTATTTCTGATGCATAAGTCTTTTCGAGAATGACCAATCCAATGAGTGATAGTTTCCATGTTGCTATGAAAATGGCACGAGCTAGAGGGCATTATAAGTAGTGCATATCTTACCTCTTTAACAGAAATTGTCTCTTTTTCTACATTCCCTACTTCATTCTGGAGAGAATTCATCTTGATTTTGAGATTTTTGGATTCACATTCTAAAGTTGTGATTTTCTTGGTTAAATCAGTTCTGTGTGACTCAGCATCTGTATTCAGTTGTTGCAAATTAGCGACGATGGTATTCTCTTCTGCAAGTTTCTTCCCGAGACAGGTTTCTTCTTGCTGAGCTGCTCCTGCTTTTGCCGTTAAAGCAGCCAGCTCTTTTTGTAGTTTCTCCGACGATTCCTCATTTTCTTTGATCGAGACGTCAGCCACCTCTAGTTTTTTCTTCAACTGTTTCAAATTAGCCTTACGTCCAGTTAACCATTCGTTGTTGGACTTCTTTACAGTGTCCAACTCATTTTGTTTTTCTTGGGCACTGCAAATGACGATTAATTACAATTAGAAACGTTTTCGCTCATGAATAAAGGGATTTGTGGAAATACCCTAAAAATGTAGCAAGGGAGGAAAATTTTTGAGGTTCAGAAGTTTTGCATGCTTTCATTTCAGTCCGCGTAGAGTTCCCTGTACTAGCGCACTTCTATGGATAATCTGAATTGAGGGAAATTCAAAATATTTCCTGAAGAGGGAGGTGATACTTGGTTCATTCCGATTGTTCTTTTCTTGTTACTTATTCCCACTCTGGATGAACCAATCATTTCGACATTGAGAAAAGGCCACAAAAATTTCATTGCTTTCAATGTGGGTGTCTAAAAGGCTTTTCAAAATTTTCAAGACCTTTTCTTGTACTGAATAAAAGACCTTTGAAAGTCGTCAAAAGATGTCGCGAAAAAAGAAGGATACTAAACATTGCACTAATTTGATCAAACTTCAACAACTTTGTTTTACGCCTTTCACAAGTTTCCACACTTTCACTGATTTTACCATGAAAACGTGGAGGTCTTCACATACATTCAAATAAATTGAATCAATTAAAACTCGGGTGAAAATGGATGAAATCAGAGTTGATAGAATTGATGATAGTGACTTTATTTTGATGATGAAAATACAGAAACGTACATTTCCGTTTGCATCATTGCAGACTTTTAGAGATACTTTATTTTTGGCGTGAAAAACTACTAAATGTCAATTCTTAATGACTTTGATTTAGAAAATTCAATAGATGTGGAGATTTTGAAACACCGCAGTTGAGATTTACATTGTTTCAATTTTATTGTCGATTTAATCCTGCATTAACAGTAAACATAAGAAATATTTCCGGACTTTATTCCTTCCTGCTACCAATTTTTGTCAGATTTCATTCATGGTATATTTTCAACTAAGTATGTTCCAGACAGGATATAGAAAACCAATGAAGTTCACAGACCACACTTTACGAATTTCTGAGGGAGAATTTGTTTTCACCTTCAACTGGACCGAATTTAGCAATTATAAACTACAATTTCTGGTTCATTTTAGAAACAACATACGGGCCATTAGTTTCCCTATGTAGATAGAAGTTTTTATTTATGGGTCAGAAATCGTAGTTCCTCAATGTAAAATGCAGTAATATTTAGATAATTTTTGCAACTGAATGCAATAAAATTACAATTTTTATAATGAAATTGCGATATTTTGGGATCAGTTTTTCAATAAATATAAATTTCTGACGATCGATAAAATGAGGTTCTTGAATGAGAAAGGTAGGCAATTTGCAATGCAAAAAATTGCAACTTTTTTCAATTTTATTGCAATATGTATCTTTGAGAGGAGCTACCTCGATTATTGAAAAAGCAACATACACAACACGCTGATTGAATGGCAATAATTTTACTGGATAATTGCGATTTATTACAACATTTTAATACATTTTTCTGGATTCATCCCTTAAATTTATGCTCTAGTTGTCTCATTAAAAAGCACATTGAACAAGGGAGGAGAAAAAATACCATGGAAGACTTTTCAATAATTGGAAGAGAACTATACAAATTTTTTTTGAGCTGACTGAACTGATATGCACAATTCTTACCAAATTTTTAACTGTGCAGTCTTTGCTTGCGCTTTCTCAAGTTCCTCACTTAGTGCATCCACCTCTTTTCTCTCTGCAGCTAGCTGCGCCTGGGCCTTCTCACTTTTTTGTTGAGTCTGCAAAGAGGAACATTCATGAGAATGAGACACAAAAATGTAGAAGAATGTAGACCTATGGCATTAAGTTCAAAGCTTCCGCAGTAGAATTGGCTGTTAAAGAACATTACACAACTTATAAATTCAAGAGAGGCAACTCTGAAAAAAAATGTTAATATATCAGAGTTAGGAAAAACTTTTTGTTCTTTACTACGTCCTTACGTGTGAAAGTTTTGTGTGTTGTGAGAGTGCAAGGTGGCATCCTTGTGCCACCTTGCTCTTTCACAAGTTTTTTCATCACTTCATTTTGGTGAAGGATGGGTATCAATAAAGGCAGTTTTCAGGCCCATTTTTTGGCCCAGCAGAATTTCCACAACTCTAACTTTCATGACTCATCAAAGGTCTATACAGTAAAACTTCGATATAATGAACGTCGATAAAACGAATTTTCTTCTTAGCCCAAAAAAATCTCTGTCTTTTCAATGTAAAATAAATTCTACATAATGAATTTCGGTATAACGAATATTCGCTTTTACAAAGGAAATCTTCGGTCCGAGTACGAACTTTACCATGCAAATCGAACTCGATTTAACAAATGCACAGGAATTTCCACGTGCCCGGCAACACCGCTAGGGAGAGAGCATGCTTGTCATCACCCACGTATTGTAAGTAGGTGTCGGTGCAAAGGTCATTTTCCGATATGGCGGGATTGGGGATTTCCGAGGCGCACATGTTTCCTCAAGTTAACGGGGTGATTAAGGAGCTACAAGAACAGTGTCATCAGTACGATTTCAACCCTTGCCGGGTGCTCATCACTACCACTGCGCAGTTTTACTGATCAAATGCTAACCGGGCGGGTGTTTCCCGCCGATTTTCCGTAAAATATCGTCATAGCATGAGAGGGGGAAGGGTGTTCACAAAACTGGAAGAAACCGAACATTTCAAAAAACTTTGTGGCCTAAAATCGGGTTTTCCGCGGTTTTCGATTTAACAAATTTTTTCGCCAGTCCCCAGAAATTCCTTATATCGAAGTTTTACTGTATTTTACGGAATGCGTCGTAAATTGGTCATTTTTGGTCTCTTTTTCGGTCTGATACCAGCCAAAACATAGGCCTGAAGGCCGATACAGGGGAAAATGCACGTTTCCCCGCAGTGGACCACGAACAGGCAAAGCTCACATTTTACACCGAAATCGGCAGTCAGACCCAAGTTAAGGCCAGTAAAGACCTGAAAAGAGACCAAAAGTGACCACATCATGACGAATTTCATAATATATAGACTTTAAATGAGCAAAAAGAGTTGGAGTTGAGGAAATTCAGGGTCAGCCCAATAATGGCCCTTATTAATACCCTCTCCTTCCAACAAAAATTGTAGATGGATTTTCAGTTTATTATGAATATACGTAGTAATAGAAAAAACATTATCTTTTTCAGTTAAACCCCACCCTGAACGTTACTGTAAGTCTTCGCAGTTTGAGGATATAGCAAACTCAATTGCGGCGCTTCAGCTCCGCCGCTGTAAATAGTTAACGACACTTTGAACAACAGAGGACAGGGAAGGAACACTGCTTGATTAAGAAGCATGCCTAGCTATTGTAGTGCACGATTTGATTTACATAGACTGCTTTACTTTTTTTTTTGCAAACAGAAAGTTTCAATTTTTCGTGACCAGGGCTAAATAAAAACAACATAATGTACTGGTTAGGAGAAAATGCCAGTAATTTTTTTTCTGTAAACTGTTTACTAGGTGAAATTTTGAAGAAGATACATAAATCAGAATGCTTCAATTTGTAAATTGTCTAGTGATCCATTTCGCAGACAAAAAAAATTATTGATAGTATCCGGTGTACGTGCATTTGTAGGTGCACTTAAACTGCAGCTGATGGCTAATAAACTGAAAATATTACCTCTTTCAGAATTCGCAAGTGATATTCTCTGCAGTCATTACATTCTCTTTCTAGTTCCTTTTCCCTTTCTAAATTCTTTCTTTTCATGTCCTCTGCTAGGTTTTTAGCTTCTTCCATTTCCTGGAAAGCCTTCTGCGCTGCATTCAATGCTACAAGAAATTAAAATAAATAACCTTATTTAATGAGTTTGATTTAATAATAATTTAGTTACTAAGCAAAAATAAACATCAACATAATAAATGTGGGAGGGTTAAAAAAGCATAGGTCCAAATCTAAAATCACATTACGGAATATATGTATACGTGGACTACTTAACGGTGAATATCGACTGTGAAACTACCAGAAAACATACCATGTTTGCAGTATTTAAAAATTTCCGCTCACATTTTACTATTTGAAAAACAAATCAATAGCACTCCAGGAAGTTTCTATCGCAGTTTCCTTTGCACAGACAAGAAAAATCACAGAAGTTTTTGAGAATTGACGTTGAGTAGTTTTCTATTTAGAAATTAAGTACAACAGGAAGGCTGTGAAGTCACAAACCGAGATACATAGTCTAGCATTTTCACTGTCAGTTTATGGAATTTAATGAATACTATAGTAGAGAAAGAAAATAAATGTTCATATTTCCTGGCTCAATGCCTCGGCTAATACCTAGAAGTAAACTGTTGCAAATCATTTCAATCAAGAGAGTGCAACTGCATATTTTATGAGTCAAAATAACTATTCATTCTTTAATTCAATTGTTTATTTTTTTTATATATTTTTTATTTTTTTTTAAAGAAAACAATGAAACTTTTGGATCTCCTTGATCTCTCTGAGTTCCTACGATATTTAAAATCCCCCTGAGTTTTGATTATAAATGATTTTTATCGGAAAGTAAAGTTACAGTCAAAGAGTATGTACAGTTTACCAATGAAAAATGGCACAGGTTGTAAATCTGCGTTTTGTTTTCTGATTCTTTTATTTTGCTATAAAAAATGAAAATAGTGCAAATAGGTATGTTATTTGCAGTGTAGGTATAGTGATGCAAATATGAAGACAGTGTGTGTAAAAGGCGGAATCTTTTTATAGGAGGGCAAAAAAACATTCACAAAGATTAACAATATGGGAATCATAGTCATTCTGCATAGGAGACGACTTTGCAATTAATACGGTTGGAGAAATTTTCGAAGAGAATCGGCGGTATGAAATAGACAACAGGTTTGCTTCTGAATATTGAAATCAGAGATTTAAAAGTTGCTTAAATTTTGATGGAAAAACTTGAATTTCTGAGAGATTGTGTGTTATGGGTCCCTCTTTCAGTGAACAGAACTCACTGGGAGTTTTAGGAGTGAAAGTCTATTTTTTTTGGCAAACAATGGGTTCAAATTTCAAAAGCTGGAGCCCTGGAGATAAGAAACCAGACAATTTTTGGTTTATAGTGCAACTAATGTAGGTATCATCTATCTGCGTTTGAAATGATTTCGTAAGCAGCCATAAAGTCTCAAATAATTTTTCCTCCCTGGTTAATTAAGAAGGGGGTTAGTCAAATAAATACCTAGTTTATTCCTGATGACTTACCCTCTTCCAAACTTTCGAGACTTTTTCTTGGAGCTTTGCTCTTTAAGAATTGTTCCTCAAGATAGGCCTGTTTTCTGTGATTTTCATTCATGATTGTGTCACGTTTCTTTTTCTTCTCCTTCAGATCATCTAAACTGTTTTTCTGCTGCTCATGATGATCTGCCAAAACATCCCTTGTCAAACTTAGAGCTTTCAACCTGAAAAGTAAAAATTATAGTACACAGGGAATCAAAAGGAGGCACTCTTCACTTTGTTGAGCAAGTTTGAGACAATTTTGTGTCTTCAAAAAAAATGACTGTTGATTATGTTACAATTTTGCGCAGGAAGGAACAGAAAAACTGCAATGAACCTTACTTTATCTGAATTTGAATTTAAATAAATGGTATTTACTTTTTCTTTACGAAATAGAGAATAATTACAATCATCGACATACTTTAATTTTTACCTGGAAAATTATAATGTACTACTCTTTTGGCAATATTTTGCCAATAAATATGTTGCCATAAATAAAATCGCAAAAATAAATACGGTAATAAAAATAATTTTTGCACCAGAATGCAGTAATGTCACGAAATAGTATGCCAACAATTTTTACAATAAGTACCTATTTGTCAAATATTTCACAAAAATAACACCTTCCATATTACTTTGCTAGGCCTAGAAGTTGCATTCTGCGAATAACAAGGATACTTAATTATTATGCATTCAGAAAAATTTCTTGCCAACATTGCTGGCCCACAGCAACGGACTCTTCTCTCCCTTTAAAAAAGGCTCCATCCTTAATTGGTGGAAAAATTACCACTGCCATTACCTTCCCTGGGCAGGATCACCTACCTACTTTAGTAGGTATGACTTCTGTCAAAGTGCTTAGGACTGCAGCCCTATTGGAGGCCTTGGACTGAAATCAGCCTAAGAACTGCATTTCATGTTGTCTAATTTTCTCTCAAGTATTATTTTCCTCACAGAGAACTAAACTACTAAAGGTGATTCATTAAGGTTTTTGACGAGGTTGAGCTAACAATCGATATACCCCATCAATTATGTCAAAAATCTCGGTAAATTTTGAATTTTCAGCCAAAAAAAGATGATAGCCCCTGCGCATGAGCCTACAGAATCATTCTAAACTAAGATATTAGAAAAATTCGAAGAAAAGGAAGCAAAGCAAAATATTGTTTGGAAAATTACCCTGGCATTCGATACAGAAATTGATAACTGTATCGAATGCGAAGTTTTTATCCAAACAGTATTTTGCTTTCATTTCTCTGAATTTTGCCAATTGTTTGGTTTAGAATGATTCTTTAGGCTCATGCCCAGGGGCTATGGTCCTTTTCAGGGCAAAAAATTCAAAATCTACCGAGATTTTTGACATAGACAATGCGGTATATCACATGCCAGTTCGACCGCACCCAGAAACTGTGTCTAATCACCTCAACACCTTAAATTTTTGTGTGAATTTACTCTAGATTTATCGAGAAAATAGGTACTCACAAACTTACTAGTTTCATTGCTGCTTGGTTACCTATCCGTTTAAAAAATAAAACAATGCAGAAAAGTAGGCATTGTCTGATACATGTAGAGTCCATGTCAAATAAGTTAACGCAGTTTTCCACTGCCGCGGAAAATCTGTCATTTTGATTCTTGGATTTACTTTCCATTATAAAATGACACGAGCGAGATCTTCTGTTACTTACAGTTCAGCGTGGACTCTAGTTGGACTGATTCATCCAGCTTATTACTCCGTATTATCTGTGAACTTCTGTATGTTATGTATGTACTCAACTTATGTCTCAACATACAATACGCACATAATGAGCCAAATATACCTACCTTATATGTGCTCTATAGCCTGAGATATAGATAGGTACCTCACTTTGCGCTGTCTACTTAACTGATGAAGCTCATTTCATTGAACGTCACATGGGACAAGTTATTGATCGGCAAACTTTAAAATTTTTCTAGAATATGAGAAAATGAGAAACAACTGTTCCTTACTTGGAATTCATAGTCTTGGCCGTCGACATATTTTTGGCCCTTGCATCCTGAGCAGCTGCCAGTTTTTGATGAAGTTCATTGATTTCCGCTTCCTGACTAAATTGGAGATGCTGAAGGCGATTGAGCTCTGCGGTTAGGAGGCGTAACTGCGTCTTATTTTCACTTCTGGTGGCCTGGTACTTCGAGAGGGATTCTTTCAAAGTCAAATCCATGTTAGGGTTTAGCTTGGTGCGACCTGCTAGACCTCGAAGAAATGTTGCACGGAATAGGTACCTGGGTCAAAGAATTACACTGAGATTATGCTTTGGCAGGTGGCGTATGTGATTTCATCTAATGATGTACAAATAATTTGGAATCAACTAAAACAATGGTTGAGGAAGTGATGAAACTATCCTCGGTAACTAATCTGATCTCATGCTTTTGTTCAGAAGTTACGCACTGATCGTGTAATGAGTTATACTTAACATAAAGATAAATAATGATTCTTTAGGCATGTTTTTGGAACCAACTTAATTCAGAGTTTGATATTAAAAATGTAAGCCTTATCCAAGTAAGATAATGCTGAGCAGTGGCCCTTTGTGGATGAGCATATAAATTATATCTCAGTATTTCGACACACAAATTCTCAATTAAGTAATGATTATTGATTTCCGTTACACTGACAGCTTTTAAGTTATGTAGCTACTAACAAAAGCTAACACTAGCTTCACCATTGCCTTGTGTTAAGGCATGCAAGACTCTTGTACTAATGAGAGACTGCATACTTAAGGTCAACATGAGACAGTGCGTGCTATGACCAAAAGTTGTCAACGTAATATCAACGATACATTCCACTCCTCAGCTGACCAGATCCTGATTGAGAAATTGAAATCCAACTCGAAGGCTAATACAAAGCACCAATCAACACATAACTTGGATCTTGCAAGTAAGTATGATTGGCAGGAATATTAGGGATGAAAGGACTTGTTCACTTCGATACACCTATCTCCTGAAAGAAGTGAAGTTTAAGTTTTGGTGAGTATACTTAAAATAATTCTGATTCAACTAAAATATTGCATGAATCCAAACCTATACTTCAGGTATATTTAAGCCAGGACAGAATAAAATGCGTGGGTTGTCAGCAGATAAAGTGAAGAAGCAACCGAACAGTGAGGCAATCCAAAGAGCTTGCTTTCTCGGTTCTCTGGGTGAAGATTTATTAGGCACTATCTCGCGCAGCAAAATTAATATTGGAAATGAAATCGGTGAATTTCACAAGAGTGTTAAAATCTATCAATTATTCGTGAGAAATTGGGCTTACTTAGATAAAACCAAGGATAAAACTGGAGTCTCTGGATTTCCTTGACAAATTTCGCTGCGGTTGAAGAACTTGAAGGAGGACGAATGCGCAATGCGCATGCGCTTGACCGAGTGTGTACTTCCTCTCAAATAAATTCTGGGATCTGATTGGCTGTGAGAAGTGACGGTTTTTCCAGAAGCCAACTTCGGAGCGACTTCCGTTTCCGGCGGGAGTTTTGATTTCCGTTTTCGGCGAGAGTGTCGATTTCCGTTTCCGGCGTGGTCTATCGTTGATTGGTGGTCCAACCAATATCAACTCCCTGCTTTCTGTTTTCGGCTTATTCTGTCTGCTGCTTTCGTTTTGAAACAGCGAGAATTTCAGTAACGCCATTATCGATTACCTTCAGATAAAAAAAGGAAGTAATCTGTCATTGTCCTCACTTGCTAATACACAGAAACCTCTTTATTTCTACAGGTAATGAAATCTTTTTGACCAGCCTACCTTCATTACCTATTTGACCAATAATATAAAAAGAAGATATAGGTACCTTTAACTTCCCAAGCTGCCGTTCCCGATCGGGCTGAAAAAATTCGTATGAACTCTTAGGATGAATCCAATAGGAGCGCGTGTTTTTATGTTTTTTCCAATGCGCCCTGGAAACATCCCCAAAAGGTCCGGTTTTCAGCGCGAATTGACAATGAGCGGTGCGCCGGGAGGGCTGGGCGAGGTGATGTGGTTGACATCGATTGAGATCAGTTCAAAATGTAATTGTTAAGGTAGCATTTCGGCACTATTATTTGACTGTGATGGACTTCTCGCAACAATAATGATATGCATTTTAAGGAAGAGAAGCTATCCTACTCCAGTTCATCAATGGATTGCTTTGCATCACCATACCTATTTTTAATTTTTTTTTCAAATCTTGAAATTTTTCTGAGGAACACAGCATCTAGGATGTTGTTGTTCCACAGGAATCAATTTGAGAAACCACTATTTAAGTAGTTTAGTGTATTAAATGTTGTAATATTATTAGGTAACTACTTGGAAACCTTTAGTTTCTCGGCAGGAGATATACAACCGCACTGAAATTTCAAACTATTTTAAACCAAATTTTTTACTAAGGTATTTAAGTAGGTATCAAATGGCAGTGATTTTTGATAGCTTGACTAGGTACTTAGCTGGATGGTAACCCCTAAACAGCCGCAGCAACAGATACAAGTGGGAATATCAAACAACTGGCCATTCTTACTAGATTGAGCTGAAAATTCAGCCCAGAGTTTTTTACACAATCTGGCAACTTTGTAGCTGGCACTGAGGAGTATAAAAACTGAAGAGCCTCCTTGAAAAAAAGAACTTCCCATGGAACAGTTAAGTATAAGAATGCAGCATTACAGCTGAGAATGCCATTCACAATTAGACTCTTAAGTTAAGCAAACGAATAGAAAGATAAGTAAGATTTGCGAACGTGCCTTCTGTCACGCAATGTTACAGTCACCTAATTCAATAATGAGTGGTTGCCTGAGTATGCATCTTTTTCATACGTAAACAAGATGACGGATTAGTGACGTTCAAGTGGTGAGAAGAAAAAGGGAATTCTAGTGTAACACTTACTAAGGTACCTATATTGTCTTGTAGTTTTTCAGAGAAAGTAAGTCTAAAATGTGAGAACCAAAAGTTTTATTTTGAACTTGCACTGTACAGAAGACACTCATGAATTGAAGTACTCTTGATAATATTAGGACTCAAGCAACTCATGTAGAATAAAAGCTCATCTCTATATTCCAAAAAAATGAATTATTAAAAATTTAATTATACTTAAAAGAATTGATGATTTTTTACAACTTTTTTCATTTTCTTCTCCTCCCAAAGAGCTTCAAGAATCATTTACTGGCTTAATAAATTAACTAGAAAAAGACTTAGGGTACATAATTTTATGAGGACCTTACCCTTAGATAGTCAATTTCAGAGGACTACGTATTTTTTCATTAATTAAATTGATCAATTAAATGGTGTAGGATTGCATTGTTGCAAGGAAGAAGGCTTAGCCTCTATTTTCTATCTGATTTGAATCAATTCATGATCAGAGGAGCTCTTCCATGCTGCAGTGTTTTACGATTCAAGTGCTTTCTCTTCCATAAAATTTTGCAAGAGACAAAATGGTACCACTTGATTTTTCTTAAATAAACGGCTAAGCTCAAGAGTTTGACCGGATATTAAGTTAGACTCTCATCTCAACATGGGAGATCCCTTACATCATGGCCTCAACTTGGATAGCTTTTTTAGAGCTTAGGAGTTTGTTTCACAGAAAACCAGCGACACCATCATGTTTCTCCTTAAATTTTATTCAAGAAAAATATTTACATAGCGAATCCCTGTGGAACAAGGGATCTCCAAAATCCTAGGTAAATATCTACGTTGAGAGATAAATAAGAAAGAAATAATTTAAAAATAGAAATTTTGTTTACTAACAATACTTGAACTTACATGAAGACATTAGTATCAAGTTATGAATTAAAATACTAGTATAGGTTACGTAAAAATATTTGTGGAAGGAATGTAAGCAGGTAAGCAGAAAGTAATCCTTGATTGTACGTTACAGTATTAAGTACAATTGATATGTTGGCGAGTGATTTAGGTCAACTTCTTTCGAACTGAATGAAAGTTCATGGCAAGACAAAATAAAGAAAGACTGTAAAGGACTGGAAGGAAAAATTTGAGACATGCTGATGTCATGTCCCTGGGTACCTAGGTACAAAAGAGTTTGTAAGAGATTTTCCATATTAAAAAAGGAAGACATTAATAGATCAAACTTGCTTACAAGTCTCACAGAGTAAGGCATTATAGTAAGAATATTTATGTGGAAATAGACAAATTAGCGCCACGTTGGCAAAAAAAAATGGAGATAAAAGAAGAAAATATTATTCAGAAATAGGCAACACTGGCAGTAGTGTGCATTTCTTTGAGAAATATACATTCAAAATAATTTTTGAAGCTGTAAAATCGGCAAAAACACGTTTTCAAGCAAAACATTTTAAACGTTCAACCTTAGTAAAGAAAAATTAGAGAAAAAAATCACCCAAGCTACATTCTACGATTCAGAAACACAGAGGGCTGAGGGACAGGACAAAAGTACCTGCATAAGAAAAAAATTCAATTCATCCTTAGCACCTACAATTAAGCTGCAAAAAATTGGACCCAGAGATATTATCATTACAGCATGCAGAGGATCCTAAAGGTACTTAAAATTGCCAGGGAATAAGTTATCTTTTTTCAAAGACTTTAATCAATACAATCTGCAATCACTAAGACTCAATATATACATGCATGCAATCACACACTCACACGCACCCCTACATACCACAATCTCACAACCTGAGGAAGCAAGGCTAAAAATAGATTTCTTTCAGTCTTACTCCCTCAGGTTATGTGATTAAGCTGAATTGTCTTTAGATTTTTTTAAAACTTAATACCTATGAATGTATGTATTTTAGAAACAGGTAAAATAAGGCACTTCGTTAGGGCTGGAAAACAAGGAGGAAGAATGACTCAACTTAAATACAGAAAAATTACAGTAAAAAATTTAAAACAATTAGAACACTTTCATTCATGAATAAACACGAGATAGATGATCTACGGGTGAAGCCATGAGCTTAATTGCTTTCTTGCATATTCTTTTAATCCTATTAAAAATTATTGACACTTCAACACTAATACACACACACACACAAGAGACTCAAACGCTCAGACAGGGTAAAAATTGTGAGATAATACAATTAAAAAAAGGGAAAAATATACACTACATAACTTTGAAAAAAATTATGCCTTCAAATTATGTTTGGAAAAATTTTGATTTAAAGTAAATACCTACTGCTCGAGGCACTAGAGCTGACAGATTTTTAGGAGCAAACATAAGGGATGATAATATTTTCTATTAGGGCCACGAAGATGAGCTGCGCAGGAAGAAATTAACTTTTAAAATCATAATGTCTTGTTGAAAATATTTGAATTCCGAAAATTCAATCAGCAATAAATTAGCTGCTGCTCAGCTATTTTATTCTCTACAATCTATAGAGAAATGAGCAGAGGATGAATTTCAAATGGTTGCTACTAAAGGAAAAAAAGCTTTTCGCTGCCTGTTAACTATGTGCGTAGCATGAATTCATTTAATGCTGTTAAAATTATTGAGTAAAGTAGACTCAAGCAGCAAGTTCAATTGTAAAAATAGTTTGTGAATATTAAACCTGTTTTACACATGGCATTTATATTTATAAAACAAGCTGGAGAAATGGTGCTGCGTCCACGCCATTTCGCGGGGAAAACAAAGCCAAGAAGTTTCAAAAATTATAATCAGAGTCAAAAATAAATTTTATAACTCTAATTCTTTCTTTCTTCTAACTTCTAACTTTCTCCACCTTGTTACACACTGTTCGGGCAACTTTTTAGTGTTTTTTTCTTCTCATTTAATTTATAAATTATTTTTTTTCAAAAGTCTTTTACAAACTTGATTGATTCTAAAAAATCAACCAGTGGAACAATGAATTTCGATTACAAGAATACCACTCGCTACACTACTTTGAAAAGAAGCGATGATCTCATGCAGGACTAATTTTGACGAAGCTCCTATTTTAGTTTGATTCACGGTAGATAGGTGCTTATACTTTACTAATGATAATAAATAGTTTTAGCCTCCTAATCATGCATTTTACTTTTACTAGTAGTATTGGTGGGAGAAAATTTAAAGCAAGAATATTTTTCTTATGAACAGCAAGATGACAAGCTTTTAGAGTAAGAATGTTCTTGACAAAGTTGCACCCAGCTGAGAGAAAGTTCTGTCACCTATTTAAAAATATTTGACTTCCATTTTGAAAAATAAGCAGATATTAGAGCTATGTATAATTCTTACTTAATTTTAACAAATTGATTCGAGACACAATCTTTGAAAATCCCTACTACAGTTGGAAAGAGTATCTTTCTTTCCGACCGCAGTAGGTTGTCATTACATGCAAGACAAAATTATTTCTTAACAGATGCAAGGAGGCATAACACCACCATATGCTACTTAGTAAAAATCATTTAAAAAAAAAAAAAAAAAAAAACATAAGTCATTTAATTCTTATTTCATGTTTAAAAAGTTCAAATCTAATTTAGCATAAACGCCTACTTGAACGATTTATCAGAGATAATTTTGGTCATTGACGTAAAATGTAATGTGATGAATGAGAATTAACACTCATACAGGAGCAAATTCTGTTTGAAAAATCATGTGAACGGGAAATAATTAAAATTTTGACATCCTGGTAGGCACTTTTTTCAATTGTGAAGGAATTTCCATTCGTAAAGATGTCATCGGAGAAATCATCTCTGCAATACTAAAACTTCATTAAGTGTAATACCTAAAAATTACATACGAACACTCATCTAGAGCAGTTCCAAATGTAATTTTAAAGTGCCCCCTTGAAGCTTTTGAAAAGATTTACGAGACAGTTTCAGATTTTTTTAAAACTTAATTTGTCTGATTTAATTGAGATTGATACATAGGGTTCCAGTCATTACTTATAAGCATGCAAATGGTCTATAGAAACAACAAATAACAAAAATAGAACCAATTCTTTCTCTCAACGTCATTTGGGACTATGGACTCTCTCTCTCTCTTTCTTTTCCCTCAAATTAAAAATCGAGCAATCAGATATTTCAGTCTCATTAAACTTCGTTGACGGTTTTCACGATCTTGACTTTTTTGTAATCACTGACCAAGGACGGAATTTGAAACTTAGCGAAGGGAAAGCCAGAGCCGTGGACGGCCGGCTGAGTAGGAACGCTACATTCCTCGTAGAGCTTATAGTACAAGGAGCCGCCTCCACTTTTAGTTTTGATGATATGACCTCCCATGGAGCCGAAGAAGGCTTTCTGGACGGCCATTTTGCGGCGTTTCTGGACGGCCCACATGAGGCCGAAACACATGGATGCCAGGACGATAACCGCAAGAACGTGCATGTGCATGAACAAGCGTGCATGGAAAAGCGCATCCGAGCTGAGGTGGTCGCTTTCATCTATTTCACTGAGCTCGGTTTCGGCCTGAATTGCAGACATAGGAATATTTGCCGAGTCAATGATGAACGGAATTTTCGAGAGATCTATCTCTTTCTTGTCTTCTTTCTTCAGCGTGTTCTCCTTCGGGCTCAGCGCATCGTTCTCGTACATGATGCAAACTTCTTGGACGATGGGTTTCCATTCCAAGGTCTTGCGCACGCGCACCTTGATGTTCTCCGACAGATATTCCAAGGACTTGGGGGCGTACTGCGATGGGCCGATGCGTTTGCCGATGAAGTACTCCACCAACTGGGTGAACGGACCGACACACTCGAGAGGATTTTCCACGAGCTCTACAGTTTTCAAATTTTCAAGAGGTTTGAAGTCGTGAACGTGCAAAAACTGGAGCTGGTTGTGAGAGATGTTGATGTAAGACAGACGCGGTAGAAGCTCCAGTGACTGGTACTGTGATAGGTTTCGGTTCCAAATGCTCACGAGCTCACAGCTGCTGACGTCCAAATAATCCAAATTGCTCAGAGGCACAAACGCAGCTACTGGCAAAACAGTGATGGGGTTACCAGCGAGGTTCAAGCTTGTCAACTTGGTGTTGTTGGCAAACATGTCTTCTGTCAGTTCTTCGATTCGGTTGTGGGACAAGTCGAGCATCTTCAGAGACTTCAAGTTGGATAAGCTCCTGCGTTCTGCGATGGAGACAAAAGTCAGGTGATTGTGACTTAAATCGAGGGAAGCTATATTGTCCAGACCCTCGAAATCTTTGTCCGTTATCATGATCAAACCGCAGTGTGAGGCATCGAGTTTGTACAACATTAGGTGTTTTCCGAAGAAACCGCGGTCGTCGGAGAAGTTACCGATCTTATTGCCGGCGATACTGAGGGTTTCGAGGTCAAAATTGCCACTGAAGAGATCAGCGTCCAATGGGTCAAACAACTGATTCCAGGACATATCAAGGTGTCGCAGGGAGGGCATTTTCGCAAAAGCATCGGCGCTGATAGAGCGAATGACATTACTGGAAATGTTCAAAGATTCTATGCCTTCAACTCGAGCGAACGTCGTGTTCGTGATGTCTTCAAGACGATTCATGCTTAAGTCCAGGCTCTCCATATCATTCAAATCAATGTTATCGAACGACGTGAGAGAGTTATTCCTCAAGTTGAGATCCATGAGTTCCTCTAGGTGAGAGAACGTGTTTTTACTTAGCTCACGAATCATGTTATTGGACAGGTTCAGTTCTTCGAGAAAGCGAATGGGCTCGAAGATGTCGCTTGTGACCCGGGACAAACGGTTCGAAGACAAATCCAGGAGCATTAAGTTGGGAACTTGACTAAATGTGTCGGGCAGGAGCGAACGAAGCTGACATCTAGCCAGCTTGAGCTCCAATAAGGAACTAGACTTGATCAGATATTTGCGCGAGGGTTCCAGAACTTGTGTCAACTGCAAAGCATTCCCGCTCAAGATGAGGACTTTCAAGCTTGGGTTGTCGATGAAAGTGTCAGGGTGAATCAGAATGAGTCCGTTGTCGGCAAGACTGAGATAATAGAGATTCTCAAGACCGCGGAAGGCGTTCACGTCGATCGTGCTCAGAGAGGAGTTGACGATCTCGATGGACTCGACTTTCTTCAGGCCGAGGTCTTGGAAGACACCAGCTCCCAGGGCGATCTCGTGTTCCGCGTTGATCACCTTCAGGTGTTGAATTGAGTCGCAGAAATTTTGCTTGCCCAAGAGCAGTGCTGAACATTCTGCTGTTATGCCGGAGGTCCCGAAGGAGGTGCAAGTGCACTTCCACGGACAACTACATATGGTTCCCGAGGCCAGGTTTAGTAGCACCGTCGCTACTAAACAGAGGAGTATTCCTTTCATCCTTCCGGGAAGCCCTGAAACATACAATAAACTCCAGATGAGCGATACAGAATAATACTGGAAAACATACAATTGTGTCAGGACCGGATTAAGGGGGTGGCCACATTGGCCGCGGCCCATGGCGGCAAATCTAGGGGGCGGCAAATTTTGCAATTTTTTTTTTTTTTAAATGTAGGTATTTAAAAAAATTGGATTTAGAAAAAAAATTGCAAACAGGAGAAGGCGACAAAAGCTCTCAGTTCCTGAGAGTATAGTAATTTCTAATTTTGTCGTATTTCAGCGATATAAGAGACAGCGCACCTTTAATTAGTCGAGTTAAGAGAGAAACCAAGCACGCAATTCGGCCTGGAACGGCGCGACTTAGAGAGAAATGATGACGAGGACTTGAGATGAAAAGGAGAGGCACTCGGCGCGGCGGTCGGCATGTAACACTTATTAGCGCCTACAAGACGGCACGAATACTTCACGCATTGCATCAAACACAGTGCGGTCACTGCGGTCAGCGTGAAACGCATAGCACCTACAAGCCTGCGTGAATACTTCTCGCACTGCGTCAAACATGGTGCGGTCTGCGCGGCGGCGGAAGTTAAAATCATTAAACCACATTTATGTTTGTCCTATCATATTTTTTTCGTTCATTTCTTGTGAATGGAAGGCCTTGTCCACATAGAGATAGGTTTATGGAACTGAACTTTCGCGCAAAGTTCCGTGAACTTTTCCTAGTAGTGTTGACAGGGCTTTCCCAAAAAATGTTTCCAACACTAGTAAACGCGTCTTATGCACTCCTCCCGCTAGCACGTTCAGTCGTTCACTTGATGGTTTTTATTGATGTTTCAAAACGAATGAGAAGGGGGCGGCAAAATACAGGTGGCCCATGGGCGGCAAGAAGGTAAAGCCGACCCTGAATTGTGTACAATTCTCCTTGGTCAGGGATGCAAAACTTCCACGATCGAACGACCGATTCAATTGTGATTATAGTGTGAAAGCTGCCTTTTTAAGGCTGCCTCAAAAAGTGTGAGGGCAAAAACCACTCTACACCCCTGAGATCCGCCAGGTTACATTAATATTTTCTTCATTTAGAAGAAAAAAGAAAGAAATCCAAAAGAGTTTAGGCGAAGAGACAAATGGACAACATTTTGCGATTCAGAACTTCAATTTCTGGCTCGTTTTAGAAACAACGTAAATACCATTATTTCCCCTATGCACATAAAGCTTTTACGGATGGGCCAGAAATTGTAGTTCCTAGTTACAAAGTGTTGTCCATATATACTAGTTATGAGATTTCTCTATGACTCTTTCTCTCTAGACGAAAAAAAAATATGAAAGGTCACTGAGGGACACGAAATGTATAGCTCTCTTGCTTCCTTCCCCCAGAAGGTCTTTTTTACAGTGACGATAGACTTTACGATCGTGCTCGGAGGTTTCATCATCAAAACGTGAGAATTCAAACCGAAATAAAAAGTAAACAGACCGATTTATTTTCACGACGTGACGTGGAGGATATTCAAGAGTGTTATCATATTACATGGAGATGACGCTAACAATCTCGATACTTCGTATGAACTGGTCGATGACGTTCGATGCATTAACCAGAGAAAACATCGACGATGGACTTTCGAGAGTCCAGTTGTTGGGTGAGATCGAAAGTGCCATGGAGTTAGGTCTGCTCAACTTAAATTTCAAGTTCGAATTTAGAGGGCAAGGGGCGAGCATCGAGAAAAATGGAGTACATATGGTGGCCAATTAAAAATTAGCCACCATTGTCTGCGTCATTTGATGACACTACTGGGTTCGGGAACCCACCCAGATTTCCAGAGGCTTCCCAGAATTTCCGATTTTAGGTACGATTCAGTAAAATGAACAAAAATCTTAACCCGGTAAGGTTTGAGGCCTTGTCTCCACGAGCCGTTTCACGAGATTTGTCCCAGGGAAAAATCCCACTTACGAAGTTGGGAAAAATATTGAGTTAATCAATATTTTTCCCAGTACCAAGTATGGTACTTGTACCCCTAGGACCCACTGAGAGAAGAAGAAGAAGTGAAAACGAACTGTGCGATATTTTATTCATTACTACATTGTTAATGTTTGTTTAGTTAAAATAATGTGTCTGATTGTCAATTGAGTGCAATTATTATTTTAATCCCGGTTAAATACTCGACTTTAACCATTTATCTTCCCGCGAAAACTAGTCGCAGGACTGTATGAGCCCCGTCCCGTGGAGACGGTAACTGGGAAAAATCCCAGAAGTTTCATTCCTGCGATTCGAACTTGGGACAAATTCCATGAAAACGTCCCATGGAGACAAGGCCTTACATATGACACCAAATAATACAGGGAAACATTTGAATACTCCTGAACACAACGGTTTCAATTACTTTTCATTACCTCCGTTTTAACCTAGTCTCTAATTTCGTGTACTCATAAGACGTCATGTCAGTGGGTGCAACTTACAAGCTGGTCACCATATTTCTAGTTCCCCCGAGATCTGGCAAGCAGAGCAATGTTTGATTTCCAGACATACTGAGCTTTGAGAAAAGCTTTCAAATTTTTATTAAAAAAAAATAAAATCGGAGAAACCTCGTCGAAACAGACACCTCTTTGGAAATCCCTGACAAAGGAAAAATCACCCGAGCGTGGAAAATCGCGGAAACGTTGGTCCGATCGCACGGTAGAGCCGGTGGAAATCGGCAGAAACACGTTGAAATCGGGTGATTTGTTTTATTACAGTACAATCATACACCCAGGGCAGAGTATGGAAACACGAGGTGTCTCACATGGAGTCAGTTAAAGAGTCTACTGCCCTCAGTTCATTTACGAAAGCTTGCAGTAATATAGGAGTTGCTCCGATAAGATTAAATTGGTGGATCCACCGCGCCCATTTTACAACTCCACTTCTCGATGAAGATTCCGAAACCAGAAGAGGTCGAACAAGCATGGCGGCCGAATTCCTCACAACTAAATATTTTCTTCCAAAATTTTATGTAAGTCTTTACTTTGTGTTGTGATCCAAAATAAAAGCCCCTTTGTCTTCGTAATCCATAAATAATTATAAGACTGCAAAACCTATAGATTCATTTCAACGACGGTTTGTCGTTAGACATTGCCATTATGTCCGGCTATACCTCTATTGTTAGACATTGCCATTATGTCCGGCTATACCTCTATTTTGGCCCCAAGCTGGTTTCTCCCAAATCGCCGATCTCCTCCCCCCCCCCCCCCCCCCCCCCNGCCAGGCATGGCCAAATTTCTTCTAGTGAGACATTATTATTTAAAAGATGTAGGGGTATATTTCCTTGAAGTTTTCAGACTTATTAGATTAAATTGCGCAGAAAATTATTCGAAACTTCAATAGATGAGAGTCCAAAAGTTTTTCCGAAAATGCGAATTTAATGGCAGGAAATTCGACAACGCTCGATTGTTCATGTGACGCTTTCACTTAATGCCCTAGTATTAATATCCGAGCTGAGGGCGATGATATCGGTAACGACGCCTTGATGCAACTATTCGTGCTCTATGGACATCCGTGTTGCGTGTTGAAAATTGAAGGCGCTCACGATGATATCGGTAACAACGCCTTGATGCAATGGACCACAAGACAAGGTACGAATTTCAGCATTCTGATACATGCTTCTAAACCAAAATTTCATGTAGAACACGATGCGCACAACGAAAATCACGGAAATTAACTCCTTGAGAAGATATTTAATGATTCTTTGTGCGTGAATTCAAACTACCCGCTCATAAAAACTCAATGCTCTGCGTGATTCACATCGTGCGCTAAACGTCATCATGACAGTCTCTGCGATATAAAAATGTGACAACCTCAATCTTGACGCTTTGGCTCAGCTGTAGCAAATTGCTTATAGTTTGAACAACACATGATGGGAAATGAACATTGCTCGATTGAGAATCTTGCTAAAACCGTTGTAGTGCGCGATTTGACTCACGTAAAGCTTCGAGTTTCTTGTGAGCGGGCAGTTCAAATTCCTCGTAACCAATGTGAAATAAAAACGTTGATATCTTCGTTAGGAGTTGGTTTCAGTAATTTTTGTTGCGCGAGTCGTACTCTACGTAAAATTTTGGTAAGGAAACATGGATCACAATGCTTAAATTCGTACCTTGTCTAATGGTCCATTATTCGTGCTCTATGGACATCCGTGTTGCGTACTAAAAATTAAAGGTGCTCACGATGATATCGGTAACAACGCCTTGATGCAACTATTCGTGCTCAATGGACATCCGTGTTGCGTGCTATAAATTGAAGGCGCTCACGATGATATCGGTAACAACGCCTTGATGCAGCTATTCGTGCTCTATGGACATCTGTGTTGCGTGCTATAAATTGAAGGCGCCTGGGCTATACTAATCCATGAAGAGGCGCTCGCAGCGACACACTTGTGCTGTCACGACTCGGTGTGACGATGAGATATAACATCCTGATTTGTGAAAATGGTGCGAAAATACCCTTTCCTGTCCTCATCCCTTAATTCTCATCGTGCAATTTCATCTTGCCACACATTTACACCGGTGCGCCACAAACTGCTGCGTGAACTAATTCATGGACTGAAATGGCCAGAACGCCTTTAATTTTTTCATGAACAACACGCACGTCCACACAGTGCAAATAGTTGTATCAAGGAATCACAGTTGTGTCAGAGGAAATTAGAGTAACATCACTGAACTGACTATGGTGCATCCTTAAGATTGCGTTTCCTACCTTTCGACGGGTAAATAGCTGTGATCACACTGTCAATAGTTTTGTCAATATCTGAAGATCAATTATTTAAACCGAATATGACGTCACATGATCCTTTCAGTCATTATTTAGAGACAGTTTTATATTGATGGATTGGTCTTTACATCAGTTCTGGTTTGAATTGACTGTGTGATGACCTTGAAATATCGACAAAAGTATGCATAGTAGTGTGACCAGGCCTCCTAATGGAAGCTTTTGTGTGAAAACTTGAACAATTGAAAAAGTATCGGCCTTTGAATTTCCCGCAAATATGACGCC